TCCACGGCCAGACAGGAAGTCGGGGAGATTCAGGGCCAGGCTTGCTCTTTCAGAAGAGCTTGCTCTCACTCAACTGCACCAGACGGAGGAGCATGGATGCCTTCCAAAGGCGATGCCCTCTGACCTAATTACGTTGCACTAGGTCCCACCTGTTAAAGGTGCCACTTCTCAACACCACCTCACCAGGGACCCAGCTGCCAGTCCCTGAAACTCTGTGGGACACACTTAGGTTGTTTCCAAACCATAGTTCACGGGTCCCGGCATCCACTGATCTCCAGGAACGCCTTGCCCACCGTGACAACACAACGTGTCTCCACACACCGGCAAAGTTGTGCCCTGGGCAGGGGGCACAAGGGCCCCAACTGAGCACAAATCCCAGCCCTCGATGTTGAAGACACCATATCAACATTCTCCACGTTCATTTTTAAGATTTTTCCCTTTTTTTTCCCCTGAACACACGTCATACCCCACATCTTGATCTCTCCATTCTCAATGGCCAGGAACAAACTTAAGAAGGCAAAGGAAATGGCACCCAATTACCTTGGATTAAAAAAAAAAAAAACTCTTCCATTTTAATTTTAAATTTGGTCCAATTCTGTTGTTGTTGTTATTTTGTTTTTTATGGGTGCCAGAGATTGAACTCAGGGTACTTGACCACGGTGCCCCATCCCCAGCCCTAGTTTGTACTTTATTTAGAGACAAGGTCTCACGGAGTTGCTTAGTCCTAGATGTGGCTGAGGCTGGCCTTCAACTTATCATCCTCCTACCTCAGCCTCCCAGGCTGCTGGGATTACAGTTGTTGTGTCATTGTGCCCGGCCCAATTCTGTTTCTTAATGGTTTCCAATTCACTCCAGCAGGCAGGGAAGCTCCATGAAGATCTGAAAGCACTGACGATGGACAGAAGGGCCATGCAGGAGGCTCGCCGGCCCAGCAGCAGCCTGGCTATGGACTCCTGCACGGCTACATTGTCCCCTGAGACGGTCAACTCCTGTTCTCAGACACAGGCTCTGGCTGACCTTTGCACACACGTCAACCTTTTCCGGTCCCTTCCCACCTCCAGCTTTGATTCTGGTTCTCACTTGTGCTGATCTGGCCAGATGGGTCCATCTGGGCAAGGCCGGCATTGAGGGGCGGGAAGGAGGGAAGGGGTGAAGGAGGGCAGGGMGGAGGGGAAACTTCGCCTCCAGTCTCCGCGGCCTAAGAGGCCAGTTATTTCCTTCAGGCTAAAAATAGTTATGGAAAAAAAAAAAGTTTATCTTTCCAGTGTTTAAAAAAAAAAAATGTGTTTACAGAATGACTCGAGTCGTGCTTCCTGATTGGAACTATTTTTTAAACATAATTGCTGGTGAAAGATTAACAATTTATTGCATGTAGCGTACTACACTTTTTTTTCTCCTTAATGGAGGGAAATGTCGGGAAACCAAAGTAGGCTGGTCTTGCCTCACTCCTGTCGGTCAATGTCAAAGTCAGAGCCTACTGTGGGATCCTGACCCGATGGGACAGGGGCAAGGGGGACCCTAGGGTTTGGTGAGCTGCTCTGCTACTGGCTCTGGGTACCTAGAGGAGCCCCAGGTACCCAGAGCCAGCRAAAACTTGAAAATGTCGAATGCAATTCAGCACTCGGTCACCCTGCGCAGGACCCTCACCCACGGCAGCTGGACAAGAGCCTTCCAGCTGTACCATGTGGTGTGTTCACTGCAGTCCACTCAGGTGGGCCGCGTGGGGACTGGCGGGACCACTTTTCAGACAGAGAACCCCCTGCCTGGCCCAAAGTTAAACACTCACTAGGGGTTTCATGTTTCTGGCCTTGGCACCCCAATCTAAAACTAACGCTATTAATTTCAGGTTAAGACATGCCCTCTTTTTTTTTTAATAAGAGTTTATTTAAACTCGARTGCCTCTCCCCTCCACCCAAGAAGTACACCCACCTCCTTTCTTTCCTTAACCTTCACTCACTTCATTAACTACACAGCAGTACCTGCTTCAAAACTTTTGCCCTACTGAATACAGTGGCCACTTTCCACACATCACTGAGTACATGAAATACACTTAGGGCTTATTTTTAGTCAATTTAAGTCTAAACCGAAATGTCTGGCTTAGTGACTACCATATCCAATGGCATGGCTACAGAAGAAAGTAATCAGCGTCAGAGTGTATACACAGATTTCTACCCACAGTCAGTATAGATTCTCACCCGTGTGTCATTTATAGATCTTTGCCTCCCATTATGGAAATCCACACTAGACAGGAAGGCAAAGTAACACCAAGTTTCAGAGTTGGGCCAGGGGAACCACCCAATCTTCCCTCCCCCTCCGCTATGAGTGAGCATGTCATTTAATGGCTATGAGGGTTAGTGTCCTCAGCTGCAGAATGGAAACAATAATTGCTATCCATAGAGAGCCAAGTGCCTGCAAAATCCTCAGTTCAGGACAGTGGAGTTATGTAAGGACAATTGTTCTATTTGTGCAAGAACAATTAAAATTTGCAAGAGGCTTTATACTTTCAAAAACTTAACATAAGCATTCTCTTTGGGCCCTTGCCTTACCCAGAGAGGACCACTCTGCTAGTAATCCTGTTCATTTTGACACTTAGAAAATGATTCCCAGGAAAGTTGCAGAAGTTCAAGGTCAAACAACCCATCAGCATGGTGGGCCCGGTCAAGACTTCAGGCCAAGTGGAAATAATCCGCATGCTGACATCACCAGTCCAGATGAGGACAAACTCAGGGCTTCTATTCAGCATTCTGTTGGCCACAGGGATGGAAGAAACTTTCCTAACCACCCAGGAAGGCAGACTCATGATGCCATCAACAGACTTCACACACTGAGGCTGTGCTAGATAAAGTAGGACTCAGTACACCCCAGTGCTCCACCCCTCCACGTGGTATCCAGATTCAGTCCATTACAACACTTCTAGTAGTGGTGTGAGGGTCTGGGAGGATTGGGGACCCATGCATGAAAAGCAAAGGATGGAACTCATGGAACCCTCAATCAAAGAACAGTCAGAGCCAGCACCTGAGGAGGCTGGTAGCACACACCCACTCCTATTCCCAGTGACCCCAATGGCAGCTTTGCCATGCCTTGGTATCCCCCCAGCAGCTAGTCTATACACTTTTGGATGAACACCTGTCCATCAACATAAAAAGAGAAAGTTATGTTCTTACTAAGATGACCTAGAGTACAATCAGTGATATTGATACAATCGATAAAAAGAAAACCTCCAGATTTTGAAACTTTCACCTCTGAGTGCACACACAACACTGCTGAGTGCACTGTTTGGTCTTTCCAAACAGTACTGGCAAACTGATCTCCTCGGAGCCCATCAAGCACGGTGGGGTGCCGAGGACGACCTCACTACACCCCCAATTCCCCATTTGGGTCCCACAGGAGTGTGCTTGACTAAAGAAAGGCTGGAGTTGCCTTTAGGAGCCATTTGAATACGTAGCTCAAGTACCTAATGAACTTCAAGTTTTATTTTTTAATTAATCACCCGACTGGGTGGCTTCCCCCCAAAATAYGCAGCACGTGAGACAAGAACACCCTTTAAAATAAAAGCGTCTTAATAGTTCCATACTAAACAGTCTCCTTTTCTTCTTCTTTTTCTTTTTTTTTTAATTGTGTCTTTTCTAAGAATGAGTTGTAACCTTTTTCTAAGAGCCATTTCCTACCCCCAAGCCACCGGGGCCAGGGACCTTACAGGGGAGCCAGGGACCTWACAGGGCGCTCCCCTCCTCCCCCTCCCCTCCTAGAGTCCCGCCCCCTTCTCTTCCAGCCTAAACCAGAGACGCACTGGGGCGGCGTGTCAAGAGAGGAAAACAKGCAGAAGTCACGTCAAGCCACACGACAAGGCAAAGCAGAACACTTGCACATGCATGGGAGGGGCGTTCTAGGTTTTGCTCCACGACACCACCAACTCAAAAAGAAACACGCCGGACCTTAACTTTGTGGAATTTCCAATGCAGTTGGCTTGGAGAACTGAGGGTTCCATGAGTTCCATCCTTTGCTTTTCCTGCAGGCCTTGCAAAGAGCGAGCCGGGCACCCCCACCCCCAGCCCGACCGCCCACTAGCAACGCACGTGAAATCCAGGCCCTATCCCCTCGCAGGCGGGCCTCAGGCGGGCCTCGGGCGACCCAAAGTTGTGATAACGCGGTGATCACCAACTCCCTAAGGTGCACCCACACACACACACACTCCGAGCTCCGGCACCTGCCTAAGGAAGGTGCCCCTGGGGAGCAGGGAAGGGCTGCCCACGAGAGGACACCACCCGCTCCCCCAGCCCGGGAGCAACAGGTCTACACCCTTCCCAGGCCGCGCTCTGCAGACCCTCTCCCGTCCCAGGACGCTCCCTTCCACCCAGATCGCCGCCCCTCGGGTCCCCGCGCTGGGACCTGGAGTGGGGGCGGGGAGGGGAGGCCCCCCCCCGACTTCCTTGACAGTTCCTGCGCCTCCAAAACTGAGCGGACGCGGGGCCCGGGCCGCCTCGCCCGCCACTCACTCCTCTGCGCGCCGCCGCGCTTCCACCCGGTTCCGGGAGGGCCGGCAGCGCCCCGGGATGAATGGGGATCCCCTCCCCCACGGGGAATCCCGCCCCGGCCCCCGGCCCCCCGGCCCCCCGGCSGCACCGGGCTGCCCCGWCGTTGCCCAGGAGCCAGAGACAAAGGGGCCACGGGGCAGAAATCCTGCGCTTTCCCAAACTTGCTGGCCACCTCCCCCTCCCAAAACAAAGGCGCACCCCCAGCCTCCGCCCGCGCCCCACGCGCCCGCACTCCGGGGTCGGCCACGCCGGGGTATTGTTCAGCCTCCGGGGAGGGCACCGCGCCCCGACCCGGGCCCGGGCACACTTGGGGACCTGCCCCCCGGGGGCCCCCGGCGCGGGGGAAGGGTGCGGGCGCCCTGGCGGCGGGCCCCAGCCCCCGGCGGGGCGATCGCCGCGCCCCTCGGCCCGAGAAGTTTGCGCCCCCGCCCCGGACCGCGCCGGCCGCCGGCCCCGCGCACTCACCTCGCCGCCCGCAGCGCAACTTGTGGCCGCGCCGGGCCGCGCCGCGCCGCGCCTCCCTCGGCCGGCGGTCGCCGAGCCCGGGCCGTGCCGCGGCCGACCAGGGCCCGGGCCCCGGAGCAGCCGAGCGCCGCCCCCGGGCCGCCCCCGCCCGCCGCCGCCGAGTCCCCGAGAGGGCGCGGGCGCTGGAAAGTTTCGGAGCCGAATGGCGGCCGGAGGGCGCTGCGGCGGCGGCGGCGGCGGGGCGGGGGCGCTGGCGGCTCCTGGCTCCCGAGCGCGGAGAGTGGGGGGGCTGGGGCGGGAGCGGCGGCGGCGGCGGCGGCGGCAGAGGGCGGGACGGCGGGAGGGACCGGCACGGGCAGTGACCTCCGGGGGGAGCGGCCGCGAGCGCGCCGACCCCGGCCGGGAGGACTGCCGCGGGTCGCCTCCGCTCGACCCTCCCCCACGGCCTGGGGGGGCGCACCCCCAGCCTTTCCCTCCCCCGCCGGAGGGGGAGGGGAACCCGCGTCCCAGGCGGCCCCTCCCCTGCACCCTAGGGGGGGGGGACGAGTCCCAAACCAGCAGCCCCTCCCCCACGGACGGTGGGGACTCCAGGCCTGCCCCTCCCCCCACGGCTCCCCAGGAGGATCTGCGCCCCCACCTTATCGCTCGATGGGCTGGGGGGGACCTGCACCCCCACACAGTTTCTCACCCCAAGCCTTACCACCCCACGCCTAGGGTGGGGAAAACCCAGGCCTCTCTCTTCTTGCTCTGAGCCCTGTCCCTCACCCGTGGGGAGGACAGCAGGACTGGGGGGAACCTAGGCCTAGACCCCACCCAGTGCGAACCGAGCCATTCTACTACTGTATTCAGAGGCTGGGCACCCGGGCCACCCCCACGGTTCCCAGTTTGGGGCACGGGGACCTGGGCCACGCTAGGGTCACCCTCCCCCACCTCCAAAAGAAGCCGCCCAGCTGCCCCAACAGAACCCCCTGCAACCTGCCCGAGGGTCCGTCWGTCTCAAAATGGTTTACCCCCCACGCCCCAAATTGGGCGCTCAGAAGGAGCCGGGACCTTTGCAAAATACCTCCCTGGGAGAAAAGCCAGAAATACGTGAGGGGAGTCTCAAGACACCCCGGGTGGGTGCCAGAAGCTAAGGTGGAAGCGTGCGAGGAAGGGGTGATGGGGGGTACCCGAGCCCTGGGATCTCCACGCCCATGCCCCCACCTCCAGGCCTCAGACCTCGGGCATTTGCAAAGTGGTTTATGTTGCAAGGTTTATATGGCCCAGCCCTGGTGCGCCAGACTCCCAGCGCYCCTTCCTCCTCTCCACGTTGGGGCYGACTCCCCACCACTCCCGGCCTTAATTCAGTTAAAACAGAGATCCGCTCCCCCTCCCCAGCACCTTTGGTGTCTGCCTCCTTGAATATTTTTTAAGTAAGTTTGCCCCTCCCTTTGGTATATAATGAGCCTCGTGTTAAGAGCCCAGTACACTCAGCAATTTAAGCTATAACCTCACTTGCTCCTTCCTTGAACACTAGACCATTTGTTGTTCTGGTTGTTGGGGGAGGGGGGGACCCGAGATGAGTTTTTAAGGGGCCGGTCCTCCATCAAAAAGGCGGACCTAAAAAAATCACCCTGCAAAATACTGCTGTAAAGCGTCCATGATGTAAAACGACTGTTGCTACGCCATTATTAGAGCACATCAATAAAAAATACACACTTACACAGTCTCCATAATTGTGAATCAGCAGAATAGATTGTGTCTTATTATGTATCAGTTGCCATTGGAGACCCCCCAAAAGGACTTGGTGGGGCCTTCCCTGGAGCCTGCCCTTCGTTGCTCCCGGGCTCCCTGGGCTTGTGCAGACTGAGGCTGAGGTATTACATGCAATCGAAAAACGGAGGGTGCAAGAGACAAACCCGAGCGAGCTCATGATGCAACCCTGTCCCGGTTACACGTGCTTCCCTTCCCCCCACCGCCTGCTGGTGGGAGCGCTGCGTTTTTTCCGCCTGTRGGGTCACATTGTGGTTGATTGATTCTCCTTTCGCCTTGCTCAGTCATTCAGATTTGGAAAGTAAATAACAAGTTGACATCATTACCGCTCTCGGCTTTACGGGGACTCGGCCCTCGGTTACCGCACACTCCKGAGTAGCCGCGCACCACCAAACCACTCCCAGCCTCCCAGCCCTGCTTGGAAAAGCCAAGCCAAACTMCGGTTMAAGAGCCTCTTTGTGTGWTTCTGTGACTTGGCAGATGCCAATCATTTAAAGTTTGGGAAGGTGGTGGAAATCCTCATCCTCCAACTAAGGCCAGGTCTTGCATTCAGTCTTTTGTAACTCACAGCRAGAGAGACAGTTCAGAATCCATCTTGCCTCTTTGGTAATATACAATAAACCCAAAGGTTATTGGATGTTAAAAGACAAGGGCAGGGCGGGGTGGCGGTGTCGTGCGGCCCTAGAGCATTTGCCTGGCCTGTCCAAGGCTCTGGGTTCGAGCCTTGGCACCGGAGAATAAATTTTAAAAAGTCAAAGGCTTTTATCAAAGATGCATAGCACCCTCAAGGGACTTTGTAAGTCCTAAAAAAGGGACAAGAGAACCCCTTACGTGCATCACAAAATCACCAAAATTTCCCTTTCTGAAGTGCTAAATGGATGGTCAGTTAGACCATTTAATTTGAGTGATGTTTTCAAGTGTGCGTGCATAAGGTGGGGAAAAGCAAGGAAATGAAGTAGATTGGGAAGGAGCAGGGTGCACTTGTGGAGAAGTGAGGAACAAGGATTTCCACATATGCCCACCGTGTGTGTGTGTGTGTGTGTGTGTGTGTGTGTGTGTTTTCTGAACTTTATTTGCAGTTAGTTGCTATCCTTGGAGGAAGGCAGAATACAAGAATTTGCTTGCAAGAAGTGCCATTAACATTCCCCCACCCCATCCCAAGCAGAACCCCAAAAATTTAATTACCAGGCAGTGAGAACCCACAATAAACATATCCTTATTTCTTTGACAAAGGATCAAAGGCCACTTGACCTTTTAAACAAATGATGCTGGAACGACTGAACATCCATATAAAAACAAAAGAACTAGAAAGGAAGGAGGGAGGGAGAGAGGGAATCTAGACACAGACCATACAACTTCATAAAAATCAACTCAAAATCGACTGTAGACCTACCTAATGCAGAAGGCAAAGGTGTAAATCTCCCAGAAGACAACATAGAAAAATCTAGATGATCTCAGATTCACAATGAGTCTCTAGATAACAACACCAAAAGCTTGATCCATGAAGGAAAATAATCAAAAAACAAGTTGGATCCCATGAAAACGTTAAAAGTCTGCAAAAGGTATTAAGAGAATGAAAAAAACCTCAACTGGGAGAAAATATTTGCAAAATCCATCTCTGACAAAGGGTTGTATTCAAAATATGAACAGAAAAATAGGAAGTTGTATTATTGCTAATAGAAATGCAAAATTGTATAACTACTTCAGAAGGCAGTTTGGGAGTTTCTGGCAAAGTTAAACAGTCTTGCCATACCATCAGGTTCCTTACTATTTATCCAACGAAGGTCAATACACATCCACCCAAAACTTGCACAGGAATATCTATAAYAGCTTTATGCATGGTTATCAAAGACTACATGCAAGTCAGATGCCCTTTAGCAAGTGAGCAGAGAAAGAAACGGTGGGTCTTCTGTACAGTGGAATACTATTGTGTAATTAGAAAAAAMACATTATTACAAAGCCATGAAAAGCCGTGGAGGCACCTCAGCTGTGTATTGCTAAGTGAAAGGAGACGGTCTCCTGCAATATGATTCCAAACACAGGGCATGACATTCTGTAACGCAATAAAAGTATACAGACAAGGCTGGGACTGTAGCTCCCTAGTAAAGAGCTTGCCTGGCCTGGGTGAGGCTCTGAGTTCCGTCACCAGGACTGTAAAAAGCAAAAACCAGTGGCTGGCCGTGGGGGCACACACCTGTMATCCCAGCAGCTCAGGAGGCTGAGGTGGGAGGATCGCAAATTCAAAGCCAGCTTCAGCAACTTAGTGAGACCCTGACTCTAAATAAAATATTAAAAAGGGCTGAGAATATGGCTGAGTGATTAAGTGCTCCCTGTGTTCAATCCCTAGTACCCCCCCC